ACCATCCATCGGTCGTGCCGGGGAGGGCAGTGCGTGGCCTGGAACGGCGTTCCCCAGACAACACCAAACGTCACTTCACTGAAGGACGCCGCCACACCACGCCGACGCCGGCTTTTCCAGGCATGTGGCCAGCATGGCACCACAAAAACACAGCTGAGGTTAAACAGGAACGTCACACACACCGGGCCCCGAGGAGCCGAGTCGCACCCTGACAATGGACGCATTACTTGCATATTAAACACGCCCGGCCCGGACGGCCCACTCGCGCGAGACAATTCCCGACGCAGCGGCGTTAATCCCGCTCAGGTTCGCGCGCGCGCCGTGGTTGCACGATCGTGCGGGCCCCAGCGGGCACGTGAGGTAGCACATACGTCCTGAGCATCCGGGGACGTCACGGGGCGGTGAGGGCAGACGGCGCCGCGGCGTTAGAGCAGCTCGTGACGCTCGATGGGCCAAGCGATCAGCTTGTTTACGTGTCCGACGGCGAGATACGGCGTATCAACGGCCGAGGTAGCGCAGCTTTGCACACCAGGCTGACCCGATATGCGGCGGACGATCAGCACACAACAGGCGGCGGCACGGACTGTCGGTCAGCACACGCGGTCAGTGAGCAAGGGCCCGACTGAATGGTCCGAAGGAGTGGCCAGAGGCCATATAAAGGGCCCGCAGCCCCAAGTCCGGGCCGCCAGAATTCAGCGTACCTCTTGCACTGATCGGAGGCCCCTGGGACAGCGTCCCTATTTAAGTCAGCTGACTGAGACTAACAATACCGAACAGTCGGTTCCGTGCCGGTCTGAGGCCTAAGGACCCCTTTCGCGGGCAGGGGCAAAGCAGTGGCCTGAAAATGTCGATCAAGGCCTTCATGATAAAAACATGACCAAAAGGCCTTCTACATTGGTCCGGGCACCTAAACTAATGAAGAACCCCAGTGCTAGTCAGTGACCACAGTCCCTAGAAAGGGACCATGTGTCTGCAATAAGCCCAGGTCGGCAAGGAACGCATTTGCTGACAGGGATCACAGATGGGGCCCTATATGTTAACGCGTGGTCGGGTTGGGGTCAATTCGACCCCCCTCAAAGGTTTTCCCGGAATGATTTCCGAACGGTACGACGAAGCCGCGCCAAATTTTGCATGCCCGTAAACAATTGAATAGCGGATCGTCTGATAATAGCAGTTTAGATGTACCTTGTGAGGTCGCTGACCTATGGCAGGTCAAAGTCAGGTCATGGTTTCAGCGAAGGCACGTTCTAGGGAATTGCTCAATCCGCTCAAACAACAGGGTGTTAGACGAGGCCATACATCTCTGAGATACTTTCTTAGGCAACACACCAATTGAATAAACAAATAGCATTGACCTAGGGTCAGTTATGAAGGTCAGACCAAGGTCAAAGTCAACCTGTTTTGCTACCCTCGTGCTTGCTGTATTGGCTGGTTTCTGGTGCTCATTTCGAAAAAAATATTGATAGCAGGAACCGCATTATACACCTTCCATGAACTTCTTATCGGTCAGAATGGGTCACTAACCTAGAATGACCCAGGTCAACATTTTGTTTTTAGAAACATACTGCCTAGCGTAATCTTTGTCGCTTATCCAAATGCACAACTCAAGCATTCCCATATCATTTTGGTCACCATGACCTTTGAAAGGTCAAACAAGGTCACTGACCTCATCTGAGCATGTGACATTTTCCTCAGCGTAGTTGGCTAGGTTCTAGGGGCCCTTTGAAGATCAGTCTGGAATTTGTCATTGTTTGACCTTATCTGACCCGAAGGTCATAACCTACGAATTTGAAACTCTGACCTAAGTGAGTTCACATACAGGCCAACACACCCTGTGAATTTGGTCTCTCTGGCTCTCTTAGTTCCCGAGATCTCAGGAAGGGAGGTCAAACTGACCCCTCTACCTGAGCGAAGGGTATCCAACCGGCCACCCAGGCGCGTGTTAAAAGGTCGAACAAGGTCACTGACCTTAACTGAACGTGTGACAGTATTCATAGGCAAGCTTCCTAGGATCCAGGGGCCATTTGGAGACCAATCGGGAATTTTACCTTGTTTGACCTTATTTGACCCGAAGGTTAAGGCCTAGGAGCCTCAAACTTTGACCTAAGAAATTTTATGTACAGATCAACACACTATGTGAATTTGGTGTCTCTAGCTCTCTCGGTTCCCGAGATCTCAGTGGGAGGGGTCAAATTGATCCCCCCCCCCGTCGAGCGAAGGGTATCCAGCCGGCCACCCGTGTGCGCGTTAAGAGGCCTCTTGCGCTGGTCCCGTCCCTATTGACAATATAATTATATCTGAGAAATGACGAAGAAAGGGTTCGCATTCACAATGAGACAGCGGAAAGGCCCTGTGTCAGTCAGAGGTCCCAGTACCGGCGAGGGATCCTCCACTCCGTTTCAACCAGAACTCCATAAGACCTGTGCCTTGGTATCATTTATTGGACTCCCTATGCTGGTAAATGCCAAGTTTTCATTCATGAGGAGCCTGCTCCGATCCGCTGCTGGGTGTCCCAGACAGAGGGCCTGGCGCATCAGGGAGGGGCCCGGTTATGATATATCCGTCTGGGGTCTCCGTGCCGACCACAGGCTACTGTACTCGCAGCGTCAGAATAGCAGCCGTTGGGGACCACACGCTGGTACGAAATGTCCTCCAGCTCCTAACCAAAAAGCTCCTAGCCAAACATTTTACCTGTACAATTTCAAAGTTGATTATCTAAACGGAATTAGACGCTACAGCGACACGAGCAAGAGAGGTCGCGCCATTGCGTCTTGCGTGTATGGTTGTGTGCATGAAAATCAGTCTCGAGTACCAATCTTATAACTGCACACGCAGATTATATTGTTCGGGACACCCTTTACACGCATACCACATGACTTCGTAAAACGCTGCGAAGTACCAATTCGCGATGCGCGATCATTTTCGCACGCCCGTTGACCGCTGCTGGGTGTTGCTGCGAGGTTCCGTGTTCGGTATCCTAAAATAGCGTAACTGCGATATCTCCGTCTCGACCCCTCACGATGCACCTCACGGAGGGGGCGACAAGAGATCACATGCAACGCGACAACGGCTCTTTTCTCACTCACAGTGCTTACTCGATGCACTGGAATTCTATTAACTGCACTTGAAACAAAAAACTCAACATTCTGGACGCATTAGTAATTTATGATCACACACCACTTCTAAGCACACAACTGAATCAAAGAGAAAAATCATGACATTCTTGGGTTCTTGGCGTTCATATGGCGTTCTTGTGCCATCCAGCGACAGGTTTTAAAACAACCTATAACTGAAGTGACATCTAGCGGCAGGAAATAAAACTTTTTAAGATGTGATAACTGGATGCTGTGAACGATATATGCTACAAGCTATGACGTTGCGAGCTTATATACTATGATCGCCGATAACGGGCACGGAATGGGACGCATTTTGGATGTTATGAACGCTTGGTGTTACGATCTTGGATGATATCAACACTGGAAACCGCGATCTTAGATGTTTTGGTGCTATCCGGTCGTTCTACTTATTCAGAAGGTATGCTAGCTGGGCGTCGTCCTCCGTTGGTGAACTGGTTGCCGCTGAGACCAATAAGTGGCATGTGTAGGTATGTCTCACCTAACCTGGAGGCTCAAAATGTTAGATAAAGTGCTCATGCCCTTCAGGTACGGAGGCCAGAGGCGATTTTGAGCCCTGCGATGTGGTGGTACTCATGAATTATCAGCCAAAATAATTGCGATATGGTTCAGAACATGATAAGCCTTGGATGTTCTGATCTGCATGTAAAATTACCTTCCAACAGGCAACAAGCTATGCATCTCGAATATCTCAGCATACCCTGGTTTATTACAACTTGTTGCACTTTTCACAACGGAGGTGAACAAAACTCTTCAATTCAAGATCCCTGGATGGACCAAATTTGCTGTCAAATTCTAAAACGTCCTGAATGTGGAAGCAGACCGGCACCAATTCATTTGATACATTTTGCAGTAAGGCGGACTAGACCGGATTGGGTTGAAAAGTCTGTGAAAGCGGGTTTGATTACGGCAGATTGGGTCTAAGCTAGCCGAACTTCACTGGACCGCATCATGAACATTTAACCCGTGAAATGTTCTTGTCACTGAGCTCGAAGGCTTGTCAAACCTCAGATGTGCATAGCCCGTCCCAGCTACGAATCCGCGGCTACCACGGACTCGGTCCCTGTCTGGACGGTTCATGAGTCCACGGCCGTGGCCGGACTCGGTCCTCGTTCAGACCCGCCTGCCGCGCGCCTGCCCAGGTGGCGCCGAGCCATCCACACCGAAAGTCAGTTGACATCGGTCGCCCGGCAACAGCTCGTCTCGCGGGCTGGCCTTGACTGTTTTTGTTTGGTCTGGGGTCGTCCGCGCTGTCGGGTGGTAGCGAAGGACACCAGGATGGGCATTTGGTGGTCACGCGCATGGTGGGACGGTGCGTGGCGGCATGGCGTAAGGCTTGGCGCTCATTGAACACGCGCATGACAGTCACGAGCTGCGGATCTCGGCTGCGCTGATGTAACGAAACCACCAAGGACTACGTACATGTCACGGCCGGCGCGAACTCCCCAGCCAGGGATGCAGTAAGCGCAGCCACCTTCCGACTTAACATAATGTTAGTATCACATAATGTTTCTGAGAAATGAGTTGCGACAGCCGGCAGCTGGCCTTGACAGATGACGTTTCGTTTACATTTTGGCTACAGTTACTTCTGGGCAGATGCGGAATGGGGAACAAAAAATCAGCTGACCCGGCATTGTTTTAACCCAACCAGTCGGCGCCCCCCGGGCCATGAGAAGGCGCCACGCTCACTGCTTCGACCCCCTGTCTAGTCATGATGCATGTGAACCGCCCCGTTCAGGGCATGTGTACTTAAACGATAGCCAGACGACGCCACCGGGCAAAGGATACGATACGTCACGGATCACGTTAATGGCCGAAGTTCATGGCTTCGTCCGTCTTGTCCTGTCGGGTGTCCGACGCACGTACCTCTCCGATGGGTGTCGTGGGCCTGATCTTCACCTCGGTCTGCGCCGCGACGACGGCCGGTCACGGCGGCCGCAGTCCTACAGGATGCGCGCGCCTGTCGCTGGCGTCTGTGGCACCCCGCATCGGACCACGCGCCCCCGCCGGTCGCCGGGCCCCTCCCACCAGTATCACTCGATAAACGAGCAGATGATTCGCCGGGGCCGTCGCGAGCGTCCGCCGGAGCCGAGCGGAGATCCCGATTAGCGGCGTTGGAGTGCATGCACGGAACACTGGACCAACACAAAAACAGCAGCCCCGCGGAAAAAGCTGTCCACAGGACGCTCCGCGTCCTGTCGAGCCTGCTCGAGATACAGATTCCAAGCTTACGCCGCGCAGTTCTCGCGGAGTCCTAATGATGCGCGCTGCCGGTTTGGTCTGGTCGGTCTGGTCGGTCTGCCGGCAACAGATCGGCCGCGTCAGGGACGCTAGCGTCTGTTCGTTATCGCCGTCGTGGTCTGGTATGCCGGTCTGCGTACTTCCGTTTATTACGACCGAACTGCTGTTGGAGGACGCTAGCGTGTGTTTGTCATCGCCGTCGTGGTCTGGTATGCCGATCTGCGTACTTCCGTTTAGTATAACCGAACTGCTGTTGGAGGACGCTAGCGTGTGTTTGTCATCGCCGCCGTGGTCTGGTATGCCGGTCTGCGTACTTCCGTTTATTACGACCGAACTGCTGTTGGATAATTATGAGGACCAGGGTCATGCTGGTGAGGACAATTTCTAAGAAACAGATGATGCTGACGCATTGGTCACTGTGGATTTATAATCATTGTCGTTTCAACGGTGTGATGGCTACCAGCTTGATATGGACGGAGCTTTTTAACCCGTCAAACTACCAAATCTGACCTGGCATCTGACCTGGCTTCATGACATCATCTTATGGTTTTTGGCACAATACATACGTCTTAGTCGTTAAGTGAGATGCGTTTTGACTGGATGCTCTGGCACGGACCTTGCTTATATAATCGGAATGCACCATTATAAAACGGACACCAGATGCCAGCCAACGCTGACAACGCATGTGGTGTCTTCCCTCATGACACACGTGATCAAATGGCGCGTCTTACTCACACTTTTACCCAACAGAAGGCCTTTGTGTGTGTGTGTTTATGTATCAAGACACTTACCACAAACCTGCAAGGCTAGCAGGTTTGTGTTTGTGAGTTGATTCAGATATTTTGCGTTGGGGGGGGGGATCTTTTCTTTTTGCCAGATATTAATAGCTAAGGGATTATCCTCGTAGTTCTGGCGTACAGAACGCAAATGGTCACATACTGGAGTCCCATGAGTTGCGCATTTTTACGTTCGGTATGTGCTCGTAAAAACGTAGCAGAGTGCTGTTTTTTATTCGCCAACATGCGATACACTTTCTCTGCTGCTCTCACATCAAACACACTGTGCGGTGCACTGCACCAGACGCCAGACATTTTTCTTTCAAACCTGGCATGTATGCGTTACAATTTCACTGACCAGGTGGTCATACAAGTTGTGAAAAGGCCGTCCGAACTAGGCTTCTTTTCAACGTGTTGTGGTTTGGCCATGCTACTCGGAACATTAAGATCCTGCTCTTTGACAACGGATTTGACCTTCACAGCCAAAGCTTCATTCGCGTAAGACTACAGTCAGATAGCCGTCCAGGGATACGTAAAGTAAGTAGTGGTGGGTGTGTAGGGTAAGTTTAGTAAGGCAGCGGCTCAACTTATGATTATTTCACTGATCCCGCTGGGAAAGATAATGATACTGAGCTCGCTGGTGTTGACGTCTTGCTGATATTGATGTTCTTGTTGGCATTTGTTGGTCGACTCCCTAATTGAAGGGAGCCCGTTTTGGTGTTTTGGGGTTCGCCCCCCCCCCCCCCTCTCTCACCCGACTTGAACATAGCTTCCGCACCCCAGATAGGCCAGTAGAGGCAAGAGAGGCGGAGCAAGGTAGGACAGCACCGGCCTACCAAACTACCGGTAACCAAACGCCGCCGGCGCGTAGGACCCAAGATGCCCAAAGCTATAGTTTGCAAAACTGCCAGCAGGTGGCAGGATCAACCGCTTTCACTCCCCCTTCTCCCATTCTGCATTTTATCTGAGAAGGGTACTCCTGCTCGTGCGTGACCTTGATCTAGAAAGCCGTCTCGTGACACGTGATGTCTGCGTATTTTAACATGATTCACGAAGCAGGTGCACTCTCTTCAAAGCTGCGATTACGGGCGCTGACGGTTTTAGTACTATGCGCGGACTGATCCTAACCCATTCAAAGAACATGCCTCTTGTCATTCGCAATGCTTTCCTCATTCTTGCTTCACCCTGCATTCTCACAATCCCACGTTTACCCCGGGCAATGACATGCGCCAGTCATGGTGGGTTATGTGCCCCGTTCGAGAGCCGAGCACATACCCCGTAACGAGGTCGTTGTGCAGGCTTAGTACCGGCGAAGGGTCCTCAGGTGCATTCAGGTTAGGCCCATTCACTTTCCACATTCACATCACGTCCACATCCACATCACGTCCACATCCACTTGTATTTATCCCATGGGATTAATGTGGTCATTACTGGCCGAATGAGCTGCGATGCAAACCAAACCATGATTAAATGTCCAGTCAAAAACAAAATTAGTGTTGTTTTTCCAATCCAAAGTTTTGATAACGGGGAGAGAATGAGAAGAATTGCCTCCCACCATAAGGTGTTTAAGTCGTGGAGAACCGTTTTGGTAACTGATTTCTGCATCAACCCCTTTTCAAATGGCACAACCTCTCCACCCGAGGGCAAATTGCGTCACATGGGGAGAAGTTGCATTGATGTTCTTTCATCCGTCGTGATTGCGACTAATGAATTGCGGCGATTTTTATTAGTAAGTGTTTGCTTTGCGTTTACTGCCACTTCGGTTTCGGTCGCTCAGGAAGGAATCGAGAATCGGCACAGTTACTGTAAGTACGATTTATTGTCTTGATGTCAAGAAGTCGTAGCTATCGTGTCAGTCAACTATTGACAATAAATTAGTCAATGACAGCTAGCCAACAAAGATGGGACACCACCACCGTCCGGCATCTTGTAAAACAGCTCGCTCCACCTCGAAACGCTGGCTATCAGACACTAAATGTTTCGGCACATGCAGCACACATATTCTTCCACGAACGAAGTATATCACGAAGTGCGAGGTTTGTCATCACGAAGTACTTGTGCCAACGGTTTGGATGCCTTCACGACCCTGAAACAAGACGTAAAAGCTCACTCCAGCCCGATGCATAACCTGCCCAGGGCTGTCCACGGTGGCGACCTTACCACCCTCTATTCCGAACCTTGACCGGACCGACACCGAACCAGATCAACGCTGGATCTGACCAAACTCTGACAGGATCAACACCGGATCTGACCAAACGCTAACAGGATCAGCACCGGATCTGACCAAACACTGACAGGGCCAACACTGGATCTGACCAAACGCCGACAGGACCAACGTTGGATCTGACCAAACGCTGACAGGACCAACACTGGATCTGACCAAACGCTGGCAGGATCAACACCGGATCTGACCAAACACCAACAGGATCAACAGCGGATCTGACCAAACGCTAACAGGACCAACACTGGATCTGACCAAATGCTGACAGGATCAACACCGGATCTGACCAAACACTAACCGGATCAACACCGGATCTGACCAAATGCTGACAGGGCCAACACTGTATCTAACCAAGCGCTGACAGAACCAACACCGGATCTGACCAAACGCTGACAGGATCAACAACGGATCTGACCAAACGCCGACAGGACCAACACTGGATCTGACTAAACGCTGACAGGACCAACACTGGATCTGGCCAAGCGCTGACAGGATCAACACCGGATCTGACCAAACACTAACAGGATCAACACCGGATCTGACCAAACGCTGACAGGCCCAACACTGGATCTAACCAAACGCTGACAGGGCCAACACTGAATCTGACCAAACGCTGACAGGATCGACACCGGATCTGACCAAACGCTGACAGGACCAACACTGGATCTGACCAAACGCTGACAGGATCAACACCGGATCTGACCAAACGCCTACTGGACCAACGCTGGATCTAACCAAACGCTGACAGAACCAACACCGGATCTAACCAAACGTTGTCCAGACCAGCCGACAACACTGAATCCGAGGGCATCGCCGCTCCTCGCCCACACCGGGGCTAATCGCTTCCGTTCCAGTCGCGGAGCAGCCGAACGGTCCTTGTGCTGGCGCGGCGCCGCCCACCTCCATCCATTAACTGCTGGCCCTCGGCCCGGCTGAATTGGTGACAGATAATGACGGGTAATTGGAAGCGAAGACGCACGTGCGGCCACCAATTACCCTCCCCTCCAGCCTTCAATGCTCGGCTGGATCGACGCTGAAGGAGCGAACAGGGGACAACGTGACTCGGCAGGAAAGCGTAGACATAGGGTGGCGAGAGTGTACCTTCAGATACTTCGTAGTTGTGGTCGTCTCCCGATTACATTCATGCCAATCTCTGCGGATATGGCTCCAGAGACACAGAGAGAGAGAGAGAAGAGAAGAGAAGACAGAGAGAGAGAGAAGAGAAGAGAGAAGAGAGAGAGAGAGAGAAGAAGAGAGGAGAGAGAGAGAGAGAGAGAGAGAGAGGAGAGAGAGAGAGAGAGAGAGAGAGAGAGAAGAGAGGAGAGAGAGAGAGAGAGAGAGAGAGAGAGAGAGAGAGAGAGAGAGAGAGAGAGAGGAGAGAGAGAGAGAGAGAGAGAGAGAGAGAGAGAGAGAGAGAGAGAGAGAGAAGAGAGAGAGAGAGAGAGAGAAGAGAGAGAGAAGAGAGAGAGGAGAGAGAGAGGAGAGAGAGAAAGGAGAGAGAGAGAAGAGAGAGAGAGAGAGAGAGAGAGAGAGAGAGAGAGAGAGAAGAGAAGAGAGAGAGAGAGAAGAGAGAGAGAGAGAGAAGAGAGAGAGAGAGAGAGAGAGAAGAGAGAGGAGAAGAGAGAGAGAGAGAGAGAGAGAGAGAGAGAGAGAGAGAGAGAGAGAGAGAGAGAGAGAGAAGAGAGAAGAGAGAGAGAGAGAGAGAGAGAGAGAAGAGAGAAGAGAGAGAAGAAAAGAGAAGAGAA